GCGTCGGTTGCTAAGCAGGACAGGCAGTGATGGCAAAAACAGCCGGCTGGCCAGATAAATGTCCTCGGCGAGCTGCATGTGGCCCGCGGGCCATAGTTTGAGGACCCTTGCTCCAGAGACCAACATGCCCTTCCTCTAAATGCTGATGAGGTTAATTGGGAACAAATCACAAGCTTGTTAAAATAGGTTCACTGGTTCCACCCCAAGGAATCTGATGCAGTAGCTTCCATATGGTCCTGCCAGCCCATAAAGTAAACTTCGAGTAGCACTGTGATGGAATTCACAGAAGGATGTGTGTAAAACCTACATAATAATGTCTGAATTTCCCACCCTTCTTTCTTTAACATTATCTCTTCTCCCTGCTGTAGCCGAACCCATCTTTCTCTCCGTTTTTAATTCATATGGATTTGCCCCATTCTCTCCTTGAGCTCCAAATACCAACAGACGTATCTGGAAATCAAGAGTCAGGTCTATGAATGAGAGCAATCTAACGGCCAGCCACTGAGGCCTTTGCCGCGTCCCACCCAGCTTCTTCCCTGAGATGATTTACGAGGATGGGAGGAGCACGCCTATAAAGAGTTTTGTAGTTTGCTTTTAAAACAATGCGCCCTCACCATAGGCGTAGAGCTTGTCCTGTCCTGGAACCTGAGGCTCTGAGGCATGTCAGGTGCGGCATGTCTTCACTTGGTTGGCATCCCATGATCCACCTCACAGTTTCTCTTTCTCCAAATATCCCACAAAACGTGTTCTTTGTGGTATCAAGGCCTGTGGCTTGTGCCCCAAATCCGCTTTCTGCTCTGTCATATGCATGGACGTGAGCGGTGGTGAGCTGTGATGCCGTAGATTACTCCAGAAGCATGCTTCCCTGGGATAAACCGAGGAAAGGCGAATGCATTCCTTATGAGTTAACAGTCCTAACGTGGCAGAGTACAGGGAGGGCTGGAAAAAGTTAGACCCTCATATATGTGAAGAAATCACATCGCGTGTTCATTTGGCCAAAGATAATCATTCTGTGTAGCGCACTTTCAATTACCATTACAAAGCCAATAGGGAAGGGAAATCCATATGAATTTTTAACAATTATTTCTCAAAGACCCTTTTACCACGTTTTTCAAGGTCTGTGCATATATTTGGGTAAAGAGTTCTTATGGCCTTGTTTGTTGACCAGGTTTTGCTGATAGCGACCTATCTACCATGATTCCACTGGCATTTGCTTTATGTACTGGTTTATTTTTTGGTGGATGCCCAGGGACACTGTTCATGATACTGTCGTTCATAGTGGACTATAAAGAAGTTCATTGAAATATAGCCAGGCCTCTCCAAACATACTGCCCCCACATACATACACATACACACACACACACACACACACACACACACACAGAAGCTTAGTTGGTATTTTAGATTTGCCATCATGACTTGGTAGATGCCAAAGGCTCCAAAGGGTGCCAAAGGCTCCAGGCACCCTTTGGCAAGTCTTGGTACCGCAGTAAAAGCAAGAGCACCAAGGAGCTCATTGGAAAGGGACGACATCATCTCTTGAGTGCCTCACTCTTGCACACACTCCCCGACTAAGTAGTAGCTTCAGGGCAAACCGAGTTAGATTTCAGAGTGAAAAGGGTCTCACTGAGCTAGTGATATTTCAACACAGATTATATGGATATAGAGGATATAAATAGCCTTCTATGGATTGGTTTTAACCATTTTTCAAAAATATTCCCTCAAGAAGATACAGGTTAGAAAGTGCTAAGAACTCTTTTATCGATGCAGGATGATAGTGAAAATGAAATGATGCCTGTCTAGCTACACAGTAGAGTTTTTGCTTTGGATTTTGCTTTTGTGTAGAAACGTACATAGTACATTACCTATGCGAACAATTTTGAAAGATTTTCTCTTCTGTTTTTGTTTTAATTTTTTTTCACTCTGAGAGTTAGACCTCAGCTTTTATAAACTTTTGTGCCAAATGCCTTGCCTGCACTCACCCAAAGGCCCGGTGCTTCTCCTTTGTTTTCTGAAGGAGAACAAGACCAAAAAGCCTACATTCTATTTTTCCCTATCCTAATTCAGTGGGGGCACCAGTGCTGTCCTCCCAGGCTTAGGTCTTTTGGTCCCATATTTTAGGGAAAGAGGAAGATAGTGAAACCCTGCCTTTGTAACTATAAAAACATGATAGACTAGATGAATCTAGTCTAGATAGAAAGTATATGATTTAATAATATGCATAATGCCTCAAGGGCAAGAAATGTCAGCCTAACTCGAGTTATTTTCTAATCATAGCATCAGCGAGACCCTCGCTTGAATGAAATTTTGTTCCCATTTTATGATGCTAAGAGGGCAATGCAGATCATTGAGACGTATGAGCCTGATGAAGATCTGAAGAATAAAGGTAATGAAAATGCAGAGATGTACAGGGGGGAGGGCAGGTTGGTTCCAAGAAAGACCGAGAAAATGTGTAACTTAGATTTTTAATTAAAAATATCTCCAAAAGGGTTCTAGAGTTCCCTGGAGCCAAGGATTCATAGCTGGCCTTTTTTTTTTTTTCCTGCTCTAAATATAAATTTCATCCTAGTTCAAAATTCATATACTCGATGCTGCCTGGAGTAAAAGTTAAGCTTATTGTCTTATTAAAGATATTATAGTGATATTTTCCCATGGTACTTGTTTATCCTACATCTCAAATTTTACATAATGCTCACAATATAAGAATGCCAACTGTAGTCTGTGTTTGCAGTCTTTGAAGGTGATTTTGTGTTATCTGAAAATGTACACCTCTGTGTCTCCCTTTTTTCTTACCAAGCCACATACCTTTAATGGACAAGCTGATGTATCGTATCAACCCCATTTGACCTCTGGTATGAAAAATACGTGATTTATCATTGGGGTTCCTAAGCCTCCTCCATTCTCAGTGCAGCTTTGGAAACAATGTATTGTTATTCATTCAAGTATTTATTACAGGAAGGGCAAAGAGAGGAAATTGTAAACCTCCCTCCCCATAGCAGTGGAAAACACTGTCGGAGGATAGGGGAGGAAGAGACTAAAAATAGAGCTGTACAGGGCTTGAGAGATGCCTGAGTTTGACCCTCCGACCCATATTTTTCTGTGAAGACTGGAAGGGGTTGTGTGTTTATTTTCTCCCTGTCTCTTACCAGCGAGTCTCGTGGGCCCCGGCTTCCCCTCTTTAGAACACAGATCCATGCTGCATTGCGTCTCGTGCCACATTGACCGGGTCCACATCCGACTATTCAGTTGACCTTGAGCTGATTCTGACTCAGAGTGGACGTGCACGGTGCCATTGCAGGAGCAGATAGCCCAGCCTTCCCAGGTGTCTCTGATTGTGCCAGACTGCCTGGCTGGCCATTCTACATGAGCACACCCCGGATACTCTTTCCGAAACCAAAGTGCTTTCCCTTTGGTTCCAGTCATACATTGGCACCTTTCTGCTACGCTCTTTCCTCCCGGGAGCCTACGTACCATCTCTTTGGTTGGTGTTAGTCCAAAACCTGTTCCTAGCAAGAGTGCTTCATGACCTCCTCCTCCCCTGTTACTGTTCCGAGCATTGTAATATAGCACGCACTGCAGGGGGTTGAAGCTAAGGTAAGCGTGGTTGGTAGACCAGCTGGCTCTCTGCAGTAGTGGGAGGTGATCTGGTGAGGTCCTGGCAGCCCTCTCACCAGTGTTTCTCTCCTCTGGCTTCATTATTTGACATTTGTGGAGGTTTGATTAGACCTTAAGCACTGGCAGATGCATAATGGGGTAAGAAATGCCCTACGTATGGAAGGCACTTGTGACGTATTGAAGGAGAACAGGCATGGAGAAAAACAAATCCATAACAACATGATAAGTATTATAAGAGAAGCATGTGTGTCCTAGGGTTTTCCTAGAGTTCTTCCAAGCGTGACTCATCTATGAAACATCCACTGATACAGTTGAAAAGACGAGCTTCATCATTTCACAAAGGACCAAAACTGACCTTACAAAGAGTCCATGATTATCTGGTACAAGAGACATTCTAATAAACGCCCACGAGCACCAAGGGGAATGTTCGGGCAGTAAATGGTAAAGCGGAGACAAACAGGACTTTCATACAACCCCCCATTCCCACTTCTAGGGGGAGGCCCCTAGGGAAGGTCTGGCATGATTTCTGAGCTCCAGGGGTCAGATCTCTGTCTTCAGACCTGTCCTCACCTTTAGCTGCCACTCAGGTCTGTGGCTTTTGCGTTTCCTCTCTGTGTGCCCGACTGTCAGATTCAACTCTGGACTCCTCACCTGTGGCTTGAGCTTCACATCCATGTTGTTGTGGTGGTCATCATCTTGGGCCGTTGCTGCTGACTCGTGACTGCCCACGTGTTCCAGAGTGGAATGGCTCCGCAGCGTTTTCTTGGCTGTCATCCTGATGGACGCTGATCACTCGGCCTGGTCTTCCATGGTGAAGCTGGGGGGGTTTGAAGCATGTGTGTCCTAGGGTACAGGTAGAGGTACATTCGGCCTGTAGTAGAACCACCATGTGGACATCTAATGGGTAGGTGTGATGCATACTTATGTGTAACATAGGAGTCCCTGAGTGGTACACAGGGTGAAACACTCACCCAGAGACACCTTGGAGGAGAATGGATTCTGGTTGTCTGCATTCAAAAGACCGGAAATGCCTGCGGAGCCGGTCTATGCTGTATACACGGGCTTGCCGGGAGTGGAACATGGCTCCCAGGCAACCAACAACAACGTATATAACCAATTCTGAGTCCCCCATCCTCTGGCCTATTCCTTTCCTTGCATGGGAACATGGGGCCCTTATTCACCCAGTTTTCCATGCCAAGATTTTAACTCTTGGAGTCACTCTTGACCTGTTTCATTCTTTTGCAACATACCTGATCCCTCGGGAAAACCCAAAAGGTTTATCCTCACCATAAATTCTGAATACATCGCTTAAATAAAATCGTATTACCATCTCACTTTTGCCAGACTTCCCAAGCCTGCATCCTCTCTACCTTGGCACACCAGCTGACTGCTCAGCGTCTCCTGTCTCCTCGGTGCCTAACAGTTTATATACTCCCTGCAGCAGCCGAAATAAGTCTCCCGAGACTCAGTGCATCTGTGGGCCATTCCACTCTTCAGATCCCTCCAACAGCAGCCACGAACTACCCCTCCACCCTCATTTCCAGCTGTTCTCCCCCCGGGTCCCCCTGGTCATTTGCTCATCTCTCTGCCCTTGAATATACTCGGCGCACATCTTCCTAAGTCACTGTGCACCTGCTCGCCCTTTGGCTGGGAAGGAGGAGCCCCATGTGTGCATGTGGCTTGCCCCTGGCGCATGCCTGTGACCTCCTCAGCAGGGTCTCCCTCTCCGCCCTGTGTAAAATAGCATCGTGTGCATGGCCTGTCACTGCTGCCTTGTCCTTGCTAGCACGTGTTTCACATTATAGTGTATTATCCTCATGGCTTCACTGATTGGCTTCTCATTCCCTTGACAGTGCTGCTTCCACCATGGTATCTCTCCCTCAGGGGCTTAAAACATACTTGCTGGTAGGAGGAATACATCCTAAAAATGTATAGGAGCTTAAGTTTTTAGTGCGATAATTGTTAGCATGGAACATGACCGAAATGCTCATAAACAGAATAATGGATAATAAATTGTGATCTAGTGATATATGAACTACTATGGGAGGGTCAGAAAGTAATGCTCCCAAGGTCTCAGTGCACACACGCACAGGTTGCTCCTGGACAAAATGTGGGAAGCCTTTGTCACTGCTATCCGTGCGGGGCTGCAGTCAAATCCTCTCGTTCATTTGTTTATCTGAGTCTTGTTTGGGTGCTTTTCCAAAAATAGAGTCCATCAAAACTGTCCTCTGAAGAAATCTTCTGAGCCAGTTAGATTCAGAGCAGAGAGACCGGTCAGAAGATTGTGGTCACTGTATAAGGGGATTCTTAAGGGGTGACCATATAGAGATTTTTCTCATAGAATAGTCGCTGATGCTTATTAGGAAGAAATTGTCAGAAAATTGAAAACTGCACTGGGGAGAAAAAAATTGCCTCGGGAAATTTTCCCATCACATAACGCACTGCGCGTTCTCGGAGGGTAGTAAGCTCTGCCCTGTAAGACTTGGTTGAGAAACTTTACCTCACCCTCACTGCAGACCTGAGCTTCCCCCTGCAAACTTTGCTGTTCCTCAACTCAATACCGTTGAGAAAGAACACAATTGGCGTCCACCCAAGGTGGTCAGGCGGATGTTTGGGCCTGGTGTGAACTGAAGACGCAGCGTTCTTCAGGATCTGGACCTTCAGACGTCATGGATGTACATACAGGATATGCTAAGATTTAGTAGCTTCACATTTTCATACTTTTGTTTAATCAAGGTTCCTATTGTTTGACAGCAATACTTTTGACTTGCCCTCCTGCATTCAGTAAAAAGTACATAAACAGGAGCAGTGCGTATCACCTGAATAAGTCACAAGAAAGTTTAACAATGATTTCAAGTTGCAAATGCATATAGTGGAATAGCTTCTGCATCGACTTTCAAACATTCCAAACAATCTATTATTTGGACAGATAGACGAGTGTATCTAGTATATCTCGTACATGTAGTAAAGATAGGAATGTAGTGAAGTTGGGAACATTAAGCACAAAACCAGGGTAACTGTCTCTGTGTCAGTGCCCTGTGGTGTTAGTCCATGACTGTTTTTTCTGTTATGATCTGTACTCTTCTATAAGCTTGAAATCAGTTTCCAATTTGAGAAAAAATACTTAAAAAATACAAAAAGATAATTCCTGCGGATAGTCAACATGGCGGAAGAATGTGCCGGGATATCAATGGGCTGCCCTTCCGTTGTGAGATGGGCCCCCCTTCCTCATGCAAGGAGAGTTTGGCTGAAGCCAACAGAGGCTCATTGGGTCCCATTGCAACTACCAGTTACACCATTCCCATTGTCATCAGTCCCATACCCAGCTTTGGAAATAAAGTAGGAAAAGTGAATTGTTTGAATTCAGAAAGCCCAGCATCTCCAAGTGGACCCCCTGCTCCATTCAGAGGAAAGAAGCAGTACTTTACAATGGTATCATTTCCGTTTTTTAAAAAGAGCACCTCGCAGGGAGATTCTCATTGACCATTCATGATGGTATGACAATTCTGGAACTAGACAGTTTCAGCATTTCCCCCCATTTAGCAGAAGAAGAAACTAAGGCCCAGAATGGATGAGTGAGTGAGTAGCAGGTGTAGATGTAGGTCCAAGTCCCCTTGGCCTCTGGTAACTGCAATGCCTGATGTCAAAGTGTCCCCAGAATGTGGTACGCTCCTGGACGTAGGAAACTATGGGACACTCCTGCATCATAGACCTGAAAGGAGGACACTTACTACGTGTTGGCAGAATATATTTCAGTGCTTCAAATAGACATCTCCGTCACGCTATTCTGCAGCTCCTTTCTAGACCATGACAGTTCTGGGGAAAAGACCTAAAGTTTTCCCTCTTCAATGGTGTACGCTGCCTTGAGATCATGCAAAACATGACACTTGTACCTTCAGAACCACAAACTCTACTAGGATATTCTTTTTTCCCCTAGGCCTCATATCAAGTGATGGGTTTTGCAGATATCTGATGTCTGATGAAAACGCCCCAGTCTTCCTAGATCGCTTAGAGCTTTATCAAGAAATGGACCATCCCTTGGCTCACTACTTCATCAGTTCTTCCCATAACACCTATCTCACCGGTCGGCAGTTTGGTGGAAAGTCTTCAGTAGAAATGTACAGACAGGTGCTCCTGGCTGGCTGCAGGTGGGAAACGCACAATGGCTATTTATTTTTGCACAGACTGCCTTTGGGTTCTAATTACTTTTTTTCCTGAACCATGTTATTGTTGTTAGTTGCACTCAGGCTGGTCCGCAGGTCCTGGTGACCCCAAGCGCAGCCACCCAGTCTTGCAACAGTGTCATGATTGGCTGCAAATCAGACAGTTGTGATCCATAGGGCGTTCACTGGCTGGCTTTCAGAAATAGCTTGCCAGACCTCTCTTCCTCGTTTGTCTTAATTCGTGAGTCCGTCGAAACCTGGTCAGCATGATAGCAACATATGTCTCCTCGCCGGGGGGGTGGCCGCTGCCCTTGAGGTTCATTCAGTGGCGCTCGAACCCGTTTGTCTTGCCTGGAAGACAAGACTTTTTATCACTGAACCCCGTTACCGCTGCCTCCCTTTGAAGCATAGCAAATGGCAATGAAAGCAAAGAGAACTTGTGTCTCTCTTTAATTAATTTTAGCCTTAGTGAGGAAAGATAGTTTTTATTCCAGAAAAGGTCTTCCTGTGAGTCAAGTGATACTTTTATGTAAATTGAAAATATGCCCCAATAACTAGGGAGAAAAAGAAAATACATATATTTCAGAAGTTATATATCAATTTTTCTCTTGCTCAAAGGCAATCAATCCACCCAGGAGGTGTCTCTGTTCATTTTATTTAAGAATTTAACTTAACTCCATTTAACTTAAAACTGAGCTATCTGAAAGTTTAATTGAATTCAAAATGGTTTTCTCTTACAAAAACTGGCAAACATTTCTAACTTTTATTATAATAAAAATTCTAAGGTGAAAACTAAGAAATAGTTACATTGTGTTTTTTTTTCTTGGTTATTAATAACCAGTGCTTTGTTTTTTCAACCCACTCTCGGCAATGAGAGATAGACTTTAAAATAAACGAACTACATCATCACTTCCACCCCTGAACTCTTCTGTGTAAATCACTAAAATAATAGTGTATTTTCATTAAATAGGAATGGCCAGACTAACATTACCCGAACTAACAAAATGAAAAAATAAATTTTTGAGCGTCATTGACCACCCCACCCACATTCACAGCCCACCCATTATCCCCAAAGAACCCCTTGTTTCAGCTTCGTTACAATGAGGCTTTCATGCAGCATCAAGCTGCACGTTAGGGCTCTCTGATCTTTCACTCTAGCACGGTCCCCCTCTGATTATATCAACTGGATGAGGTGTGTAGGGTCATCTTAAACTATATGCCCCCCAGAAAAAAATCCTCTTGTGTAAGAATTCACTCTACTGATTTAAGGGAAGACATGATTTTGATCCCTTTCGATTTGCGCGTACAGCTGTATTTAAAGAGATAAAGTTACAATGCCACTGTGTCCCTAGATGCGTGGAACTCGACTGTTGGGATGGAAAAGGCGAAGACCAGGAACCGATCATCACTCACGGCAAAGCGATGTGCACAGACATCCTTTTTAAGGTAACTTCAAATCACACGCCCACAGGCTCTTCCAGTGACTCTGAGCAAGCTGGAAATAACGCGGTTGGAGAAGAAATAGCAAATTATCATTGTCTCAAGCATTTTAGCATCATATCCCCTCTGGTTTTGAGGATAAATTAAAAATAAATTTCTCCAATGAAGGAAAACCCACCCTTCATGCTACGGGTTCTGCATTCAGATGGCCACAGTGCCTCACAGTGAAGTTTCTTTAGCGGTCAGCATTGTTCTCCTTCCCTTAAAAAACACCTTTTATTCATTTTATCAACCTGTTGACTTGGTAACTTAGCATTATTCCAGAAGGCCACCCAGGTAGCATAAAACGATAGACTGTAGAAAATAAAATCGATTCTAAATGGTGCCTGTGCGGGTAAAACAATAAAGGAATGCCCAAGTAAGGTGGTGGTGGTGCTCGGGTGCCATGAAGCCTCGCGCAGCCTATCGTGGCCCCTGTGTATGACAGAAGGGACCCCTGCACGGCCCTCTACCCTTGTCACAGTCGCACAATTGTTGCTGTGTGTCAGCCCTTAGTTACAGCCACTGGGTCTATCTATCTCATTGAGGGGCTTATTTTTCGCGGGCCCTCTTCTGTACCAAGTATGATGTCCTTCTGCAGGGACTGGTCCATCCTGATAGCATATCCGAAGTACATGAGATGAAGTCTCACCATCCTCCTGTCCAAGGAGCAGTCTGGCTGTGCTTCTTCCAAGGAACATTTGTCTGGACTTCTCGTAGTCCGTGGTACCCACTCGGACAAGGCTGGCATGTATGAGTGCTCGCCGAGAAGTCCTAGTCCCTGACAAGCCTTCCGTGAATCCCTTTTGCGATCCAGTGGAAGGAAAGAAAGGGTGGGTCACAGTGTTAGTAAAGTTCAAATAGAGTCATTGTTACAGAGAAGCACAGCTATTCTCAATCTTGAGACTAGAAGTTTCTCCTAAGGACCCGCACAGACGAGAACAGACCATTATACAAATAGGCATCTCCCATAAGGGCCTGCCGGTGATCTCCGGTAAGATTCCAAGGCTAGTTTTTCAGAGCGTTCCTTAATATGGCCCAGTGGTGTCCTACTAAAGGACAAGCCAAAGAAAATGGGATTTTTTGGTTTTGTTTTTTTTTTTTT